AAAAAAATAGAAAACTGTAAGGCGGAAGACCATACTGTAACAATTAACAGCTCATAATTGAAGAGACTTTCTTAGAAGTGTCTGACAACTAAATTTTAAGCGAAAAAAAAATTTCGTTTTTTTTTGACCCACCCTAATATGTATACATACACATAAATGTTCATATGTATGTCTAGCTATTGCTACCTTATTGTATTTATTACCTTTCAAATTTGCCGGGTTTGGATGTGTCTGGCAGACGGAGTGTTTGAATATACATATTTATGCAGGTATATGTATGTATGTATTAATATATATATATTTTGAATATGCACATAAGTATGTATGTGCTCTTTGCGTGCTTTTATGCACTTGCTGGGGAAGTTTGTAGAAACACATGTTCTACATACGCATTAATTTTTAAGGAACCCAAACAAGTTCGACACTCATATTTGAAATAAATTCGAAGAAGAAAAAGCGCAAACATAAATTAGAATCGTCTATGAATTAGTATTTAGTAGATGCAATCAAGTCTTTTGATCTTAATCTGCATAAACGAAATCAAAGCAGACTGGTTGATTTTGGATTGTTCATTTTTTAATTAAATTTATATTATATTTTAATTTTTGATAAAAAGTAACGTATTTTTTAAGAAGCTTTTTTTTTTTTTTTAACGAATGAATTTTTTTTTTAATGTTTCATTGACAAATTGAAACAATTTCGAAAATATGTTAATCTTTTTTATTTAATTTTTAAAAAAGTTATTATTATAATTGAATAACCAAAATGAAAGCCGCTTAAGCTGCAAAGGAGTAATTTATAATAAAAGTAAATATTTATGTGTATATTTTCAGACATATATATACATACATATATATTTCAATATAGTGGAGCGTGGCGAATGCACAAATTCGGCAAAATGAGGAGTGTCTGATCGGCAATTAATGCGGTGAACGCGTTCGCTGACGCCGCTGGGCATACAAATGACATTTGTGTGCTTTTTCAATCGATTTAAAAATGTTTTGATTTCATTTTGATTGCAAAAAATATAATTTTTGTTGTTTTTGCATATTCAATTCATAATAAGATGGCGATTATTTACCACTATCGAACTTTTATATAAAAGGTTTTCAAAGCAATAATAGAGCGCTACATTATTTTTTATTTAAAACGAAATTCGACACGAATTTGCTTTTCAGCAAGATATTTTTTCAATTATAATTGTACATATATGTGTACTTTTGTATGATTATGCGTTAAAACGAAATTTATTTTCAAGTTATTCTTAATTTTAATTATATGTTTAATTTAAATTTTATTTTTAATTTTAATGGTAATTGTAGTTGTAATTTTGAATTTAATTTTAATTTAATTTTAATTTTATTTTAGTAATAATTTTACTTATAATTTTTATTTTTATTTTAATTTTAATTTGCATGTGGATTTTAATTTTATGTTTATGTTTAATTTTAATCATATCTTATTTTGAAGGCCCGCGCTGCGGTCGACATGGGAAGGGTAGCGCACATCCCACTACATATGTACATACATATTGTACAAAGTATGAAACAAGAAATGAGCAAAATTCGAGCCCGAAAATGAAATTGAAACTGAAACAAAAAATTCGTCAAAAAACTGCCGAAAAAGTGAAAGTTTTATACGCTCGAAATTTTCAGATGATGTTGCTAAGTTAGCGGCGCACCGACGCAGCACTCGCTTCAACTGCGTCCACGTCATTGCGGCAGCGTTTAAACAAGCAAGCTACACACACTCAGACATATGTATGTATATAGCTTCCTAGCATGCTGCGCGCAACGCTGAAGTGGCGTTCGCTGCGCATGCGCCGTAACGCGTCACCGCATAATGAAAGTAAAAACGAATGATTGTTGCTAGCTGTCGCTTAATTCCGCTTACAGCGCTTGTAGTTATAAGGTCTACTACGAATTTTGACTTTATTTAGCAGTTTCTTTCTCCAGCACTTTTTTGTGTGCTGTGTTTTATTAATTGTTGGCGCTGTTGTCTTGTTGCGCCACTGCGCCTGGAAAGCGCTGAAATAATGCGTGCAAAGGGCTGCGTGACACGGAAAACCGAAATTGTAAGCATTTGCAAGCGATAGAGCGATATGCTACAAATGATAAGCGCGTGATGGCGCTCGCAGTGAGAGTGAGATAAATATGTAAAGTTAAAGGGTTGTGCCACAAATCTAGGCTCGAATGAGTTTACAACAAATAAATGAAAATAATTATGTTGTCATTGAAAGTAAAAATTTGCTAATTTATTATAACTTCTTGTTGCTTTTAAAATGCTTTTAAAATACAGGTATATAAGGTAGAAAGTTTAGGTTTTTGAGATTTCTTGTATTTCGTGCATTTAAATAGCAGAAAATTATCGAGAATTACGGTTGTTAACACTAATTTAGCAGTTTCAAGAAGAGAATGATTTTTATTTAATGTCAATATTATTAAAGAAATTGAAAAAAATAAATATACTCAATATTTATATATTTTTAAAAAATTGCATGCGATAATTTTTCATTAAATTAATTTTTTACCATTTTTGTTGTTACGAAACATGTTTTTTTGTTATTAAATATACATGTATTTTAAAATGAATTGCATGCGTTATTTTTGTATTTAGTAAGTTTATTACACCCAGCAGGAAACGTTGGAGACCGTATAACGTATATATGAATATAAATGATCAGCGTGACGAGCTGAGTCGATTTAGCCATGTCCTTCTAACTGTGCGTCTGTTTGTATATACGCGAACTAATCTCTCAGTTTTTGAGTTAATGATCTAAGAAGCTGCCCATCATATAGCTTTATAACGAACTGACCGATCAAAATAAAGTTCTTGTAGGGAAACTTTTTTTTTTCTGAAGAGTATTATATAATAGATTCAGAGCACCCGATGTTAACGCTTTTTCTTGTTTTAAATTATTGTTATGCTAATTATATTTATTTAAGTAATTATTTTTTTATTAAACTAAATCAAAAGCTATTTGTCTAATTCCCAAACTCACTGCCTTTCTTGCTGAATTTGTTGACAAGAAATATTTAAATATTAATATAATTGTTTAATTTGCATACATGCACAGCAAGTGTTACGACTTTTCTATGTACCGACATATATTTTGCAGCTGCGACTCAAACCTAACGCATTTGTTTCCTGTTTTGCGCTTAATGCAAACTAAAAATAACAAAAATTGAGAAAAAGATATAATAAAAAAAAATATCTATTAACAATGCCGCTCATGTTTAGTCAAATTAAACGAAAAAATTGCATGCAGCACGTGGCACTGCAGTGTTTCGTGCAAGAAACTATGTGCTCGTACGTGCAGCTAGGTTCCCTTCGCTTGTTCTTTGCGCTTGCCAACCTTAAGCCAGCTTTGTGCCACTGCCTTCTGCTGCAGCTTATTCTTGTCCACGCTTTACCTGGCTTTGTGGTGCCGAGTAAATCTGCTTAGGCTAGCCGTAACATACGACCAAGTTCAATGTCATTTCATTGTTTAATGTTTTCAAAGTCTAGGTTATTTCATTGAACGCTAAAGTAGTTGGTGCTATTTAAGAAAGCTCGAATCGATATAGTTGAAGAAAAAATACGATATACTTCTAACTAGAAAGTAGCCAACAATATAACTCGTTTATTTTTGCGAGTTTAATAAGTTGGTTAGAAAACTAGCTACTGTAAATGTAAGATTGAAAATTCAAATAAGAAATACTAATTATCAAATAATCATAGTCAAAAAACCACAAAACCAAAAAATTAAAAAAAAATGGTGGTGAAAGTAAATCCTATAGCTAGTTTTATTCAAGTAGAGTGTTCACTTGCTACTCGCTTATCAAAAAATAAACTTCATGAAACTTGTTTAATGTGAGTTGAGTAATTTTTAATCAATACCTTGCAAGAAAATTAACTTTTCGAACCATGTTTTTAAGTTAAGAGTTCTTTTGCAACTCTGTTATCAAAAAAAAAAAACTTCCATAACGATTTTATTTGAGATGAGCGTTCTTTTACCACTCGCTTGACAAAATAACAAAAATAAACCTTCGGTAGAGTTCTTTAGTCACTCGCTTACAAAAAAATAAAACTTCAGAATAAATTTTATGTAAGTTGACAAAAAATTTATGACGAATAATCTATCGAACGTTTTTCTCCGAGTTAAGTATTCGCTAGCCACTCATTTACAACCAAAAATTTTATTATATGCTTAGAAATACTATAAATAGGGTTGCCTGACGATAGTTATTATTAAAAAAAAGTAAAAATATTTGGTCACCTTTGTATATTCCAAAAATTATTAATATCAAAAACTCTATGACAAAACCTCGTTATTTTCTCCATTAAATCATTTAAACAGTTAAGTTACTAGAAAATGTATCAAATCTTTGAATAATAAATTTTAGCGGTGATCAAAATATTAAAACACATTCTTATAAGCCATTTGAGAATTATATAGTAGTTAAACTATAAGAATTAAATATCTCAAATTCCTTCTAACACCATTCGTAAATAATGTTATAATCTTCTGCCTTGCAAAAATTTACCTGATATTATAATAACTTTTATACAAATGAACATTTTTAAGTTATTTTTTCAATTTTAGAAAAATTCAATTTTAACTGCAAATTAGCTGACTGCCACGTGCAGTTCTTTACTAACTTCGGCTGATGAAAAATATGTAATCATGAGCATGATCAGTCGAGCGTGAAAAGTAATAAACGGACAACAGAGTTATGTTCAAAAGAAATATGCTTAAGGCAAAATATAAAAATAAATTTCATTGCTAAGCGACGAAAATGAAATAATAACAATAAAAAATTGTGTAAGATTTGATTTTGCACTGTTCGAAGACGATTTTGGAAGGTAGAGCATAATTGAACTTGTGGAACATTAGAATACTATGGTGACATTTCAAACTTAACAGGAGAATATTTATTTGAAAGAGCAGATTTCTAACACTACTTTTAGTTTTTGTGTAATAAAAATTAAAAAAAAGATTGATTCTTTACTGTAATTACCATTGAGATATGAGGCATGTTGCTTCCACAGCTGTTGCACTTGAAACTGCGTCCACCGGTTATTATCGTCGATATTATTGTTATTGCCAGTTGTGTTATTATTGTTGTTGCCAACACCATTGGGCACATTGCCGTTGTTGTGCGCTAAGCCAGCACCGTTGTTGCTATTGTTATTGCTGTCGTTTGCGCTGCCGCCATTGCCATTGCTCGGACCGTTCTGGCCGCCGCCGCCGCCGCCCATAATGCCCACCAACCCATTCAAGCTTAAATTGTTGTTCGGTGTCGCAGGATTATTATTGTTGTTGCTATTGTTGCCAGCACTACCACCACCACTGTTATTGATAGCAATCAAATTTGCGGTGTTGCCAACATTTGCCAGCACATTGCCATTGCCGATGCCGTTGCCATTGCTGATATTGTTCATGTTGTTGATGTTATTCGCCGCCACAGCGACCACCGCCGCCGCGGCATTATTCACATTCGCTAAATGCTGCAAGCGATGATGCAACAGCTGACTGCTCGGCGGCAAACTGCCAACCAAATTGTTGCCCAACGTATTGATTGTCTGTTGCAGCTGTGTGTTGGCAACATTTTGCATTGTATTGCGCAGATGCAAATGTACATTGCTGCTCAGGCTATTCACAACGTTCGTATGCACGCTGCTCGCGTTGCTATTGTTATTGTTGCTGCTCCCGTTGTTGCCATTGCCATTGCTTGCTGGATTGGCGGTCACAGCCGCTATGCTATTGACAAGATTACTTGTACTGACCAAATTACTGCCAAGGCTGCTGACAGCGGCGGCAGAGAGACCATTATTATTGGCGCCACCAACAACACTGTTGCCAACGCTGCCGCCGCCCGCGGCTAGCAGATGTGGCAGATTGTGTACGACTTGCAGTGGCAAAGAGCTAAGCGGCGGCAGTGCGGTTGTATGACTCGGCGACTGCAGATTGCCAAGCAATTGTTGTTGCTGCTGCTGCTGTTGTTGTTGTTGTTGTTGCTGTGCATGTTGCACATTCTGCAGCAGCTGCAAGTGTGCCTGATGTTGTTGCTGTTGCTGTTGGTGCTGCTGCTGTTGTTGCTGCTGTTGTTGCTGTTGCTGTGCACTCTGTAGCGCATTGTGTGTTTGATGCGCATGCGCATTGCCAATTTGTAGCGCTTGCGTTAGATAATCCATTCTAAGAACTCGAAGTACGCAAATTCATTCATTCATGTGCGAAGCGGCGCGCGCGAAAAACGTGAGACAGCGAGCACGTGCGCACGTGGTAAAGTTCTCTTATGTGCAGTTGAAAATGCGGTGCGCGCTTAGTTATTTTGTTTTTGCTTATTTTTGCTATTGTTTTTTTCTATCTTATTTTTTGTTGTTGTTTTTGATTTTTTTTTGTTCACGTTGCTGCTTTATTCTGCGTTTTTTGTTGCTTTCTTCAATTATTTTTTTTTGTTAAAAATTATATATGCTCGCGCTTGCTGCCGGCTTCACTTTATTGTTGTTCTTATTTTTAGTTATTGTCTTTTTTATCAAATTTGTTTTCATTTTATTTTTCAATTTTTGCTTTATTTACCGGCTGACTGCTTAGCTTGCGTTTGTCTGTCTGCCTTACCGCTTCGTACTTGTTAATTCTAGTCTGCATAACAATAACAACAAGCATCTGCGCCACGCGAACACTTGTTTTGGCTAGCGATTGTTGTTTTTGGCACGTCGTGCTGCTAAGTTTTGGCTGTCTTATTATTTATTTAATTTTTTTATGTGTTTTTCTTTATGTATTGATTTTATTTTTTGCTAATAAGAATCTTCGAAAATTGCACCTGAGCGCTTGTCTTTCTATTATTTTTTATATTCGGTTTCAGTTAAAATATCAGCTTTTCTTATGCAGACACATATTTTATTTTAATTTTTAAAAATTTGCATTAATTTATTTCCTTTTTTTGTTGTTGCGCTTTATTTGCATGCCATTTAGTTAATGTGCCGCTTAAACTTCTTTTAACTCATTTAAATTTATTCTGTTTATTTTTAATTTTTTTTTTTGCATACAAATTATTTTTTTATTTTATCAAATATTCTCAACTTATTATATGCCGATTGTTCACTCACATCACGAACATGCATTTATTCAGCTTTTTTCAATTTATTTTTTTCTTCTGTCTGCATTTATTTAAACCAAGCAATGCCCAGCGTATTTTTTTCTTCCAATTTTTTTTTCTAATTTTGTTATATTTTTTTCTCGTAACAATCGTGCTTTAGCATACAAATGAGCTTGGACTGCAACTTGCCATGACTAACTTAAATTTAAAACCATTTGCTTTTATTTTACTGTACTTTGTTTTCTTTATTTTGAATTTGTATTTTCTTGTTGTGTTCTTGCAAGCCCCTTCCTCTCCAACTATTGGCATACACAATTGTATTTCACTTGTTTAAAATAATTTATCTCAACCCTTCTTGTTTTCCGCTTTCCTCCTTCAATTTGCTCTTGGCATTTGCTGGCGTCCCTACCTTGGTCTAGGACAAGTGTTTCGCCGCGTACATTTCAATTAGTTGATCGCCTGGTGTTTAAAAAAGTTTGACCTTGAAAGTGTTTCACTAACAGCACACAGTTAGGCGAAAGAACATTTAGTTATTCGTTTTTCTGTTTGTTTTCACCCAATTCGTTATGGTGTCAGGCGGTGCGGTGTTGGGTGATCGCGCCCCGCGTTTTAGCTTCACTTATCAACACAATTTGCCTCACTTAGCCAAGCTCAATTTGTTTCTTTTTGTAGTTTTTCGCATATTTATGAGTTCTGATTGTGGTTTAGTTTACTTTTCTTTGTTGTCTATTTGAAACTATTCTGACTGTGTTGCATTCGTGACAAGGCTGATTGTCTTGTTGGCGTTATGTTTTCGTCAATTCTATTGTTGTTGTTGTTGTTAATGTGGGTGCCGATTTTTGCGCTGGGTTCAATCGCCAGATATTTCTATATTATTTTTAAAGTACACACAGTTGTTTATCTTGCTTTGTTTTGTTGAATTCGTCAATTGAATTAGCGGTGGTACTGAGCGATTGTTTTGTACTAAGATACACAGAGCTTTAGTTTTTTACCATAGCCCAACACACTTAACACTCATGTCAACTTCTGACTTCCACTTCACTTGCTATATCTAACAAGACACTTTAACCGACGCATATCTTGGAGATTAGCGCTAATAACCGTACTTTCATTGTGAATCACTACAATTGAGTTGACGCTTAATTTTCGTTACTCGATCTCAATTGATAAGCGCGCACTTAAGGATCATTGTTTAGATAAAGACTTTAACGAAATTATGAAATCAAAAATCGCCGAGACATAACTGTCAACCATTATCGACACAAAAAGTTGTTGGGGAAAACTGAAGTGAAGATGTTTTACAGCGAATTTCCGGCACTGTCACCAAACTTTCTGCCACTTACGGGCTACACACTAAGTATTACCGTATTACCGCGCTGCGGGCTATAAGTTCGGGTTCGATATCGCGTTAACGTATACGCTATCGCTGCTGCTGCCGTTCGATCTTCCGCAATATGGAGCTGGAACCGGTGCCGCCGGAATACGAATGAAGAGTGAGCGCACGTTTGCGCGCCGCAAACCCACCGAAATCGCGGCGTGCAAACAAAGCCAAACACAGCGCAGGCGTCGACAAAGACAACGGCGGCGTTGGTAAAGGTAATGGTAATGCTGTTGCTGGTCTTGTTGATGGGTTGCTCGTTGAGTTGTTTGCTGGTCTTTTGGCGCAGAGCGCGCTACCGTTTGTTTGCTCAGCAGCGCTTGCTTTCCAGCTTGTTTCGCTTTCGTTGGCTTTGTTGCTGTGCTGCCTGTTGACTGTTTGGGTTTTTGGCTTTGCGCTTTCCTGCTTGCTTGGCTTTTCGCTCGCAAATCAGTCAGCCATTCAGGCAGTAGCTAACATGGCTAGTTAGTCAAGTTGTCTGCTTTGCATTTCTTCTTTCACGCGTTTTACTCGCTCCACTACAAAACATACATCCACTCGTGGCTCGCTTGAGCTTTGACGCCACGCCGGAGTGCTGTAGCGTGGCGCGCAACCAGTTTCAGTCAAGCGCATGAGCTGTTCGGTAGTAGCCAGCTTGTAGCCAAAGACAAGACGCTTTTTTGCATATTCGTCAGTCACATCCTTCATACTTCCACACGCTCGACGCTTAGAAGCGGTCGGATGACAGATATGTATATTTGAGAGTGAGCTTGAGTGTGATTGCTGATGACTGTGTGCTTATGTGAGTATGATTCGCCAGTAAGCAAGTTGTTGCGGCTTCTTCCAAGTCGATCCTGCAATACATATCTCCTCTATATGTATGTTTATACTCGTTGAATCGTGAGTCGCTTCTCATGTGCACGCTTGAGTACAGCGGCACGTATACGTGATATCTATTTTTGCGCGCTATTCGCTACGCTAAATTATTGACGCTGTTGCTGTTGTCGCTATATTGTCGCACGCTGCATGCGGAAGCGCATGGCTGGTGTTGATTTCTTTTTCAGGTACATTTACATTTGAGTTTTTTACTTTTGTATTTGTTTTGCTTCTGCATTTTCTTCTCTCCTTTGTTTTGCGTTTGCTTTCGCTTTCGCTTCTACTTTTGATTTTGCTTTTCTCAGCGCATTTTGTATCTCTACTTCGCGCTCACTCATTCGAGTGCTCTTATTCCTCAAGTGAGTGAGTTTTATGTCTTCCGCAAAGCTTTTTGAGCGTTTTGATTGAAAGTGATCGTCGTATGTAATTAATGACAATCGGTTTAACGGCATTTCACAAGTTGCGCTAATAAAAGTGCGCATATTTTTATTGCTACTTCGTTGAGCAGCTTGTCGCGGCATGTGATAAGCATTCATGCCCTTTGTTGCTGACACAGACTTGTTTTCAATGGTAATTACAGTACAAAATATGTATATGTTTATGTGTGTTCAGATGCTATAAAATCACCAGCTTATATTGGTGAAATATCGGATATTTTTATATAGAAAATAGACTTTTGATACAATGTATACCAAGGGATCAATTAAAACGTTAACTCTGACTACACTCCAGCTATAATAATATTCACAGTTGCATTTTTTATAGCACAAAAATTTAAAGCATAAATATCTTTATTCTGATTTTGATTGGTCAGTTTGGAAAGCAGCTATAAGCTGTGGTCTTCGTTCTGAACAACTTGTTCGAAGATTGTAGCGATATATTGGATAATAATATTTGCCAAATTTCTTGAAGATAACTCGTTACATTAAAAATTTTGACATACAAGCACTTAATTGCGATCGTTCAGTGTGCATGACAGCTATGTGCTATAGTTATTCGATATCGGCGGTTCCGACAAATGAGCAGCTTTTTGGTGAGAAAAGAACGTGTGCAAAATTTCAGATCGATATCTCAAAAACTGCGAGACGAGTTCGAGTATCTCTGCCAGTCACGCTGATCATTTAAATATTATATATTTATATACGTTTATATATGTCGTGGCAAACTTAATATACACTGTTTGGATTATAACCCGTAAATTGACACTCAAAAACTACCTTTCGATGCCTTCGAGAGTACCAAAAATGTGCCTGAGCAACTTATTGATCTTTAGTAAAATACGACGGTGCTGCGCCCTGGTTTTGTCTTAAAAGAGTTTCCAGACAGATTGTTTGATTTCTTCCATTAAAAGTTAAAAGATATAGTACCTATTTCTCCATCACTACAAAAAATTACTACTCACTTTTTACAAATGCAAGTTTATGTCAGAGATTATCCCATATAAGTGTTCTACGCAAACTTTAGGGACCTTTGTAATTTGCTATCAATTTAGTACCGAAAGTAATATCTGTCAGCTAAACTTGATAACCGCTTATTATTCTATTTCTTTTTCATTATGACTCTATATTTAATTTTTGTCTGTTGACTGTTCGATTCGCCACTACTCAGAACATAGCAAATTGAAGAGAGGAGAAACTCTTAAGACATCTTACACCTAACGAAAACAAAACTAAATTAATCAAAATTCCAATACACAGAGGTGTTGTAAGAAAATTATACAATAGAGAAACATTAAAACGTCCGAACTAAAGCGTAGTGACTAGTTTAGCAGTAATTTTATTGTAACGGTATTAGTAATTATTTAAATATTTACCATTTTCTTTTTATAAAGTGTTTGCGATATTCATATTACGTGTAAATAGTGATGAATGAGTTCTTCGTCGATCATGAAATTAGGGTAATTCTAACATTCGAGTATTTAGTTATCACTCTGCTTACCTGTAAAGAGAGAGGTTAAAGGGTATTGATTAGTAATCGTTACTCTTAGACATATTCAGCAGTATTATGAGTTTAAATATTTGGTATAAAATTAAGTAATAGTAAAAATCAAGGTCGAATATTGGTAATGTATTGATGAAAGTACACAATTTACAATAAAATAAAATACTTCCTGTGAAGCGATACATGTAACTATACAATATTTACGAGTAAATGATATTAAAAATTTTTTTACAGAAGAGTTTAAAGCTGACGAGTTGTAAGAAGTCTTAAGTTTCTAAAAAAACATCCAGTAACAGGCGATAGATTTAACTCCAAATAATTTTTTTTTTATGTTAAAAACTTAAGAATAATGAGAGAAAATGATAATGACCAGGCAAAGAGGTCAATGATGACAATTAGATATGATTAAGGACAAAACTCTTCAAGAGGTTTCAAATAAAATACATCAATATTTTGAGGTATTAGGAACAAACGTTAACTACGTCTGCACCGAAGATTTAATACCCTTAAGAGAAGCATTTTTTATATCCTAAAGGTATATAAAAAGGTCTTTATCTTCATTTTGATCGGCCAATTTGTATGGCAGCTATATGCCATAGTCTTCCGATGTGCACCTTAAATAAAAATCCACGCCAATTGCAGTGCAGATATCATGTCAAATTAAAAAGCTTTCCATATAAGGACTTTATTTTAATTGAACAGTTTGTAATACCTTTATCCTATACTGATCCGATATCGGCGGTTCCGACAAACGAGCAGCTGCAATGCAAAATTTCACATCGATTTTTCAAAAACTGAAGGATTAGTTTGCGTATATACTGACAAAAGTATAGACACACGAAATTTGGTTAAGAAAAAAATTCGTTGACTCAATAAAAAAGAAATAAGTTAAAATAAACAGCAGCAACAAAAATTATACACAAAATTACAGCCTCTAAAAAGCTGCGATCTTACAAAATAAGAGAAAAAAAGCATCTTAAATAATAACATATATTAAACATAACTTTAACGCCGTTGCCAACTCAACGTTAAGAGCACAACCTATAGATCACAAATGAAATCGAAAGCATTACAGTAACAACAATGCCACAAACGAAAGTATATGACTTTGCTGACTGCCAAAAAAGACGTTTACAAAGCGCTGGCAGTTGTAAAAAAAAAAAAAAAAAAAAGAGACAACACAATAAGACGTGTGAGCTAAGCAGCCGAAAAAACCATACAAAAAAATGCATCCGAAAGTTGTAACAGCCGAAACAAAAAACCAACAACAACGAAACTGCGCAGTGACCGCAGCAGACCTGCCCTGCTCGAAACCGCAGCGACGTAGCGTAGCGCAGACTCCGACCAGCTGTGAGCTTGTCAGCACCTCAAAAACAAACACAACCAAACCGAAATTCGCTACAGCAACAACGTTTGCTGTAGGCGCTGCCGCAAGTCGCCAACCACGCAGACTCACCGTCGTTCACTTCCTTATGGCGGATAAAACTCAAACAATACGAAAATGCATATATTTATATTTATTTTTGGCACTTTTGCTTTCACACCTCATTCGTTACATTCGCTAGCGTTGCTTTTACTTAAGCCAGCTTTTTGGTTTCACCTTTCTTTTTGGTAGTGAGGCGTTTTTGTTGCATACCTTTATATTTTCAATTTCTCTCTTTACTAATTTTGGTTGTGAAGTATTTAAAACAAATCAAAAAATAAGAACATAACGAAAGAAGAGATCATATATACAAATTTTGACTTATGCCTTGTTTAATATTTTTTTTTTTTTTAATATTTTTGCTCTTATCTTGTGACCTTCCTAGCGCTTTGTTGTTGTTATTACTGTGTGATCGCTCGACGGCTGCAAGTTGAGAGTGGAGTCAATCAGGTCCCCTCACCTGAATTGGGCAGGTCTTAGCCGGTCAAAAGTGCCAAAAAGACAAAAGCCAAAAAGCAGTCAAAACAAAGAGAGTATATGTAAATGTAGATAAGCAACAAATGAAACGAAAGTTTCATAAATTACAGAGATAGCAAAAAAGCATAAGCAATACGCGCGGGAAAACCAACTCAAATTTTTGATGGTACAAAAGTATACAAAAGTATTTATTGATATTCATACACACATACTCTTATAGACGGCTTTTATTGTTTTTGGTAGTTTTTATTTTTATTTCTTTTACTTTTAGTTAGTTTGGTTACAAAGGAACCAGTTACTGCCTGCGACCACAGTTAGCAGCAGAACTGCCATCCGAGCCATTCAAATGACCATAAGTGTCAAGCTGAGGCCAATCATTACACATACAAGTATTATCAACAACAACAAAGAGCCGCAGTAATAACGAAAGTGATCAGTAATCGATCAAAATAAAATAGACAGAAAAGAAATTAAGTGAAATATGGAAATTGTTATTAATATCATAAACAGGTTTTGAAAAAAAAATATTTTTGGAATATATTTTTTTTCAACTAGATATATTTGTCTTAATGTTATGTAAAGTAAATTATTTATGTTAAAGTTCCTATGCATCAAACGAGTGTGATCAAAAACGGAAAACTGTCAGACTCTGCTTTTGGGTAATATAAATAGATAGATGAAGAGGCTTAAGAAAACCTTTTTGCAACACAAAAAAAAACACAAAAAAGTTAACAAAATTAAAAAAATTAAATGAAGAAAATTTTCAAAGCACAAAATATTTTGTGTTGAAGACATTTAAAAAATATCTAATATTTTTTAAAACAATTAGCAGCCCTATGCCATTTATTTAATGCAGTTATTAGCTCAAAATAATAATTTTAAAATATCTCTTAAGTTTATTACTTACACTCTGATGTTCAGTGGCATTTACATAGGTCATTTTTTTGAACTAATAACAGTTAGTAATCAATTAAAAATATTAAAGAACAGTGGCAACTCTGTTTTAAAAACAAAATGTCTGACTCTGTTTGCATATGGCAACCTTACAATAAAATTTGATACCTTACAGCGTTTTTGGTATCACTTTTTGTTCTCAGCAAACAAAGTTTATATTTCTTAAAATGTTATTTATTATATGATGGCAAGCCTAAAGGTTTTCTAATTAATTATTGCAAAAAAATAGTATTTCCTCAAAGAACTGTTTATCTACAAAATAATAGCAGTTATCGTTAGTTCTTTTATTAAATATGCTATTTTGAGTAAAAAAGTTGGGACTAATAAAGCAAATCCAGAGCAGTTTGACAAAGTTTGAAGAAGTAAAGAAGTACCCTGTGCTGGGTATACAAAAACTGCCAGTTCTCATTTTGATTAACATTTAATTTAAGACATGAACTATGCTTTACGAAAAGCTTATGGATAATTTGAAACCTGAATATTTTTTTTTGGTTCGTAATAAATATAATCTTATTGACTGAACGTTGCTACTATTCACAAATTCTATAAATAACAAAAAGACTACACATACACCACCTATACAGACATGCATATAAAAAATTAGTTGTAATTTTTCTAATAACCGTAAAATTGTCAACGGCACATCAGCAGCTATAAAAGCTTGCATTGAAGCTGAATTTCAATTTGAAAAGTAACTAATCATATTGATGCATTTTAATACATCAACCGAGAGAAGCCGAAACAGCAACAAACACCAAATTATGCCATGAAAAAATTACAAAAAAATCTCTTTAGAACATACCAACATATGCCGAAGCAAAAGGCATCCATCGATAGCCTACAGTCCAGCCGGTGGCACAGCCCTTCTACTGCGAATGCTCATATGCTGTTCGTATCGCTTTTGAATTTTTCGCTAGCGTTAGTCATTTTGTTAGCTCAGGTGGCTGGCATTTGCTGGTCAATGCATTCGCGCGCTTTTGCCAAAATGCATTTGCAATGACAAAGTTGTGTAAAAAACACAAAAAATTAAAACAAGCACATACAATAACAAAAACAGTGACACATAAAGCAATAGGTGCCTGTTTAGCGCATTAGCATTGCTCATATGGAGCTTTGGTCAATCCGTAAAAGTAAAAAAAAAATATAAAGGGGTTGTTTAGTAGCATTGTGCAGAAGTAGTAGAAGTTTGCCAAAATTTATATTTTTTTTTTTCATCATAGTCAAAATTAATATATAGGTATATATAAGAGTTCAGAAACCATTATTATTT